GCCTCTGATTGACATCTTGTCATGGCTGCAGTCTATCAGAGTTACCTCCTTTATGTAGCTGTTCTGGTTTTGTCACTGTGGATTCCTATTTGTAAAATAAATCATTTCAATGGGGTCGGTCTGTGCTTACTGTCCTGACTTAATTGAAGCTTTAATTTGGAACTTGGTTATGATTTGAAGTAAAGGAAAAGAGGACAGAATTATGAGTATTTCTCTGTTGGAAAGGATTGATATTTGTAATACAGGATATTTATTGGAATGACTCTTATTTCAAAGATTATTGAACATCATTTATCAATTTTGTTAGGATATTAACTTCTGATCATAGTTGTTATACCCACTGAAGCAATGATGACTTCATGTTATATGTGTGAATTAGGGCTACAATTAAGGATTATTTTGCAAAGTGATTCATCTGATGATTTTTTTCTGATTAATTGATTAATAATCACATAGCCAAAGGTTTTTAAGAAGATCTTTTACGAAATTTAAACAGGTGAAGGTAAAACTTTTCCACTCGAGGAGTTCTAGATAGTATGGAGCCCCAGAACTGACATGGGACTAAAAAGAGATACAGCATGCACACAAAATACTAATTTATTCCCCAAAAATACTAATTTGTTCCCACAAAATGACGATCTATTCCCTCAAAATCCTAATTTGTTCCCATTAAATACTAATTTGTTCCCACAAATTACAAACAATTATTACCAAGAAATATTTATCTATTCCCACAAAATACTCATTTGTTCACACAAAATGATAATTTGTCCCCAGAAAATACTAATTTTGTTCCCACTAAGTTGTTCTTAAGTTCTTTTAAAAGGGTCTTAAAATTGTATACAATTGACAATGTTTTGTGGTAACAAAGTATCATTTTGTGGGAACAAATCAATATTTTGTGGTAACAAATTAGTAGTTTGTGGGAAGAAATTAATATTTTGTGTGAACAAATTAGTATTCTGTACTTAACTGTTTCTCTTTTTTCTCCCATGTCAGCTCTGGGGCTCCATAGGATAGAGCACATATACAGACAAAAAGGGTTTTTTTTTCATCTTAAATGCAAAACCTTTGTTTTTTTTTTTTTTTTTCGGTTTTGATATAATTACTCCTCTAAGTGCGTTTCTCTGTCAGCTTAAGGCATATTTTAGAGTCTCTATACTCTAGTTAAAGATTAATCAATTACTAAACTAGTTGATGATTTTTCAATAATCAATTAATCTGATTGTTTCAGCCCTAGTTTGAATTCTGTTATTCTGTTTTTTCCATATTTTTTCAGATAATTTTGCAGCATTTGGTGTCAATAATTGTTCATCTTCTTTACAGTAAAATGAGGACTCCAGAAAGTTTGTCAAAGATATTATAAATTCTCTCTGAATGAACTACAGGAACCGTCTCTTCTCAAAACAAAAGTGCTTCCTTTACTTTATGGAAGCATGTTGACAGATTAAATGCTCCACACTCAATTTTGAAATGTTAAAGGGAGAAAATATATACTCCTCAATAAATAAGGGTGACACACAAATATTGCTATCATTATAGATGAAATTATAGTAAAATCTTATGTCCTACATGTTGAAAGTCTATTCAACGGTGGTTTTAAAGAGCCTAACAGGATATCTTCTCTCCCTTTGACTGAATTAAATTTCTCTTCTTAAAAAGCATTGCAATTAAATGCAGTTTTGTCTCCATCAAGCAGTGATATACCTTGAATATATCAAAAAGCAAAAACTGACATGGTAAAGGTTTGCCATAGCTGCCTTAAACCTGAACACAGTGTCACTTGTATAGCTTTTTTTCCAGCTTTACTGAGCAGAACATTGAACTTAAACCCACTGACCCATAATGCCTTTCTTTGTAATATGACAGTACTTCAGTGTGTGTCTGAATGCAGGATGAACAGACGACATGCAAGCGCAGAAGGCCGTCTTTCATGAAGACTCAAACATGCTCACAGTGGAGATCTGTAGGATGACTCAATGAGGCAGGACAAACGCCAACATGTCTTCTTCTGCGTCTCAGTAGAATGACTGATACTGCAAGTTATTCACTTATAGAAACCCCTTTTAATGTCTTTATATAATGTGATCTTTTTAGAACAAGATCTATTTTCAAAATTTCACCTTAAGC